GCCTGCCCGGGCTGCGGGCTAGCAGAAAAACAGGGAGCAGCGGCTCCTTCCTCCCGGCTCCCGTCGGAAAACGCTCCTTTCCTCCCCTCTTGCACCTTCGCTCTCCCCTCGCCGCTGCGAGGGACGGGGCCCCCAGGCTGCAAAATGACCTTTTCCTTCTCGCCAAAGCGACCGGAGCCTCCGAATGCCGGAGAATTGGGCCATTTGAGACAACCTCCCCCCTTTTCTTTCCCCAGCTCCTTTATTGACTCTCCTAGATGCTTCCCCGCTTGGCAGGTTGGATTTGTGGCGGCCTTGATCCCTCCCCACCCTCCTTGTGTTTGCTTTGCGTTGGTCTTTGACACGGGCCGCGCTTCGAGTGACACAAACTTTCCTCTTTTTGGAGGCTTTTCCTCTATTTATGCTGTCCCCCCTTGGCCAGGGGACAAATATTCCGTCCCGAATAGGCTCCATGGGAGCCCCAAGCGGCTCCCTGCAGCTTGGGAAGGGCCCGGAGCGCCCAGGGCCCTGATTTCTCCCAGTGGGTGTGTGTTTGTGGCTGGAACTCACTGTCGTGCGGTCTTATCGCTTAAAACAAATCTCTCTTTCAAAAAAAAACCAATATAATAATAATGCGGCTTGCCAAAACCTATGTGGCTTTTCTGAGTAATCAGAGGAGAGGAAGAAAATGCGTTAAAAAACTAGCTCCACTGGAGAATGGGAACTTGGAATGATGTGGGATCATGGATTCGAGCACCCTGAAACAGCCAAAGGTCCCCAAGGCAGGTTAATAATCTATTTATTCCAGAGGCCTTCGAGGTGGCTCCGTGAAATGTTGCAATATCCGTGAGTGCTAATTGGGTTCCTGGAGGTGTGTGATTGCACAGGCTGATCCGCAGCCGCTCCGAGGAGCGCGCCGGGCTTCGAGGAAAGCAGAAAGGCTCCCGTGCAGCGGATAAGACCGTTATCTCTGTTTGCAAGGGTGTTTCGGCGTTAAACCCTTTAATTCAACATTTCACACCTGGGGCCACTGATAGCTCCGGAGCTGAGAAGTGAAATGGATAAAAGGCAGCACCGAAGCTCCCAGAGATCCCAAATCCCAGCGCCAAACTTGGTGCCTGCTGCATGAGCCCGTTCTCTTCCCTATACGTGGAGTATCCCTGGGAGCGAGGAGGCTTCCCCGTATTCCGCACGTGCCAAGGAGCGGATCCTGGGAAGCTCTTCCCTCCAGCTAGGCCACGGAGAGGGAGCAGAGCATCCCAGTGGCCCCATATCCACGACCCGGCGAAGGGCTGCGGAAGCGGCTGCCTTGGGGATTTGCAGCTTCCCGCCCGGCTCCGGCAGGAGCTGGGCATGGAGAAGGGGCTGCTCCGCCGTGTGGCCCTTGGGGACAGGGTGACACTTCACTAGGTGGCAGTGTCGGCTCGAGCGAAGGGACCCGGAGCGACTGCAGGGCAGGGAGTACCGGGAGAGCTGGTTTCTGCTCAGGACCCAGCTGGTTTATGGTCCCCAACAGTTGAATCTCGAGGAGTTCCCCGCTTCCCTCTTGCCAGGAATCCTCCACGAGGTGGGTTCAGCCTCCCTTTATTTCTACCATTTTTTCCCTGCTCCTAGCAGGGCCCGTGGTGTTTTCCCTGCTCCGGCAGGACCCCGGTACCGTTCCTCAAAACCCAGGAGAGGGCCGAGGCTGCCGCTGTCCCCGGCTCCAGTCAGCCGAGCCGGCGCTGCTGGATTTGCTGGGAATGCCTGAAAATGGAGGCGACCGGAATCCGCGTCCCTGTCGTATCTCATGTGTCCGCTGTGTCTCCGTGGCCAGCAGTGAACGGGAAGGGAGCTGGGGATGGCACGAGGGTGGCAGGGAGCAAATGTCCCCCCTTTCCTTGCAGAAGCCGCAGCCGTCGCGCTCCGACAGCCCCATCGTGATCCTGCGGGATGCGCGCAGCGCCCGGAAAGCAGCGTCCGCCGGCGGCCGCAAGCCGGCCACCATCCGCCTTGTCACCAAGGACCTCATCCGTGACCTCGTGTAAGTCCACGGGGGAACTTTTGGGAAGCCGGGGAGGGGACACGTGTGTCTGTCACAGCAGCGTCCCTGTGGGCTGAGCCTGTTTGCAAGGGGAGCGAGGAGCAGCGAGGATGTGAGCTCTGCAAGGCTGTGAGAAGCACCGTGGAGCTGTAAAGCCCTCCCAGCAGCCAGGAAAGCTCCTTTGGGAGCAAATATCCCCCCAAAAGAGGCAAACGCCCGCGAATCCAACGGCTCAGGGGACACGTGTGTCTGTCACAGCAGCGTCCCTGTGGGCTGAGCCTGTTTGCAAGGGGAGCGAGGAGCAGCGAGGATGTGAGCTCTGCAAGGCTGTGAGAAGCACCGTGGAGCTGTAAAGCCCTCCCAGCAGCCAGGAAAGCTCCTTTGGGAGCAAATATCCCCCCAAAAGAGGCAAACGCCCGCGAATCCAACGGCTCCCCCGTGCTGGAAAGGGCCGTGGGGCACTGGGGTCCGCTGGCCACGCGCATTTGGGAGCTCTGTGTTTCTCCACAGGGATGTTTATAAGCAGGGCTGAACTGCATGAACCCTGCGCCTAATTACTGCACCTCGTTAAGAAGCCTGCAGCACATGCACAAGAATAAGGCCATTATCCTGGCAAGATCCAGTTTAGCCTAATTTGAACCTCCCTGCGTTTTCTTTGTAGTTATAGTGCAGGGTTCGTCTTCGCTTCCTGTTTGGAGCTGTAACGTGAGGCTCTTGAAATGGGAAAACAAACACGGGATCTGCGCCGGGGATGGCTTCATGTGTTCCCTTTTCCTTCTTAATGGAGAGGGAAATGATAGAGTCACTGATCCAGGTTTCCAAGACTTAGTTTTAAGCCCAAATCCTTCTTTGGCCGTGTCGATGCAGCCGAGGGCCAATTTCCAGATATGCTGCCCAGCCAAAGCTGAAGCTAATGGAAACTGTTTGTGCTGCTTAAATTCCTGAAAATCAAGCCCTAGACATCTCGAGCTGGTCACCCAAACACTGAGACAACTAAAATAGTGGCCACTGTGTCATTACATTTATGACTGCCGTTGTTACCATTAGCCATTCTTTAAAGCGTCCTGGAATCCGATGCCGTGATGCAGCCGCTCGGATGATCATTATGCAGGTATCTGTTCATATTCATATGGGTGGATGAAAGGTGACACATAATAATAATGACTAAATTCTTAGTCCTGAGCATCTTCAAAGTGCTCGATGCGTTTTGTTAATATACGCTCCGGCACCACACGCGTCACCATGGTACCTGAGTAATACAAAGAGTAATTAGCTCCCTGCAGCTCCCGTGGAAAACAGCCCCGTGTTATTATCCACATTTTTACAAGTGGGGAAATGGGGGCACCAAAAGCTTCCGTGATGTCCTGTAAGCCACAGTGTGAGGCACGTGGAGAGGTTGTGGTTTTGCAGCGCGTTCCGCTCAACCTGCAGCGTCCCCTGCAAAAACACAGGCCAGGGAGAAGGTGCTGCACATTTGGGCAGTGCTTCCTCACGGAAATCCAGGGATCTGGGATGGATTCCTAGGACAGCGGAGCTGAGCAAAGCTGCGCTGTGCAAATCTGGAGCCTGAGCGGGCTGCGTGGTATAAAACAGACCAAAAAGACGCCTTTTCCTTCCCAAAATCCGGCTGGATGGAACAGAGGTTTCAGGCTGAGAGGGGACATAAAGGGACAGGATGGATAAGTCTGTGGTTTCCCTCATTGTGGGTCAGGAGATGCCCATGGGACCAGTGACAGTCTGTGTGTCCCACTGGGAAAGAGACCAGGGCCGTGGTGACACTTGCCCTAAATGAAAGCCGGGAAGGGCCGAGATGTTTCCAGCATCTTTCATCAGGGTCCGTGCGGAACGTTCCCGCAGGAGCTTCCCGCTGCCCTGGCCTCCCCGCATCCCTGTGCGGCTTTCACTGCACTTTCTGTTTCTCCCTTCTCCCAGAACGGGATGATCGTGTCCCATTCCCCACGCCGGGACAGCCGGCAGCTCCCCCACTTCCTGCATTGCTCCCCAATGACTCCGGCTCGCGCGGTCGCTCCCGGAACCCCTGGATTTCTGGCAGCTCTGGCTGCCAGGCAGGGACATCAGTGGGGCAGGGGATGGAGGAGCCTCGGTGCCACTAACTGCCCTTCCTCCGTGCCACCAGCGTCCCCGTGGAGAACCCGGCGGCGTCCCTTGTGATCAGCCTGGAGGATTTCCAGCGCATTAAGGAGGCATCCCGAGTCCTGAGCAAGGAGGAGCGCGAGGCCCGGCTGGCGGCCCTCAAAGCGGAGAAGAACGCCCTTCTAGTAGGCACTTGCTCTGCAGGCTCCTCTTTAGCTGCTTGTAGACACTGGATGCTGGTGGAAGTGGATGCAACCAGGTAGAGCCGACCTGGTGGGGCGAGCGCCCCGGCCGGGGCTGTCCTTGGAGCTCTGCTCGAGGACAGGGACATTGCCCCGTGGTGGTGGCTACCAGAGGTCACCACGCAGGGGAGGTTGCCCGCGTGGAAACCTCGGGTCTCCTTGGGGCCTCTATCCCACCAAGGTTGTGCTGGGATCCATGGGTTTGCTTGGAGGGACCATCCAACACATCCATGGGTTTGCTTGGAGGGACCATCCAACGCATCCATGGGTTTGCTTGGAGGGACCATCCAGCACATCCATGAGTTTGCTTGGAGGGACCATCCAATGCATCCATGGGTTTGCTTGGAGGGACCATCCAACGCATCCAAGCTGTCTGGGACGAAGCCTCTGGGTGCATTTCTGCCACCTTGGAAGCGCGCCAAGGCCTCTTGATGCTCTTTCTTTGGAGTGAGGCATCTCCCTAAGCACGTGGGAAGGGGCTGCCCGGTCCTCGTGGCCCAGCTGGAAGAGCCCACCGGGCTCCCAGGCTCCGTGTGTGCCGCACGGCGCGGTGGGGAGCAAGGAGCTGCCTCGGCACGAGCCAGGGTCACCCTTGCAGCGCCGTGCCTGCCCTGGGAGGCCTTTTTGGCTCTCAGCAGCCTTACCCGTGTCCCCAGGAAGCGGCGAGCGAGCGCAAGAACGCCATGAAGCAGAGGGCCATCCTGCAGCAGAGGAAGGACCAGCTCAACGACCTGGAGGAGGAAGCCCGCGAGCGGGCCCAGCACCTGCTGCAGCGGGCGACCAGGATGCGCCTGGAGCAGGAGGATGAGATCAAGGAGTTCAGCGAGGTAGGGCCGGGGCTTTGCCGCTCCGCTCGGGTCACCCGGCATCGCGGCAGCTCCTGTCCTGCTGCCACCCAGGTGCTCCTTGGCTAGCACACGTCAATGCCCGCCGGCTCCCCAGCGTGCGGGCAGCCCTGGCACTGTTTAGACCTGAGTTATCTACTAGAAGAGGCTGTCGAGGGCCCCCTGTATGTGCAGGACGGCTTCATAGGATCATGGAATGCTCAAGGTTGGAAGGGACCTCTAGGGATCACCCAGTGCAGCCCCCTGCACACGCAGGGTCACCTAGAGCACGTGGCACAGGGCTGCGGCCAAGCGGGTTTGAAGATCTCCAGAGAAGGAGACTCCACAACCTCTCTGGGCAGCCTGTTCCAGGGCTCCATCACCCCACCTTCATGGGGACGAGTAGCACCCAAATCTGCACTCCCTTCTTCAGGCCTTTTACACCTGGGGAACCAGTGCACGGAGATTAAGGGGTTCCCTCAAGACTCTCAACCACCTCACGGCACAGCTAGGACCTGCTCTGCCTGTCACTGCCCTTGGCCTTTCTCTCCTTCCCTTTTCCTCCTGCTCGTCGTCTCTATGTCTGTCCCTGTTGCCGTTTCCGAGACCAGAGAGACCCGCTGTCCCCACAGCTGATCCTCAAAGCCAAGTGCCACATGATCCGTGACACCCAGATCTTGGAGAAGCAGCTGATCACAAAGGAGCTGGAGGAGGAGGAGAAACGCCTGGCCCGCATGATGGAGGTGGAAAGACGCAAGGCCAACGAGAGGCAGGAGGAACTGGAGCGCAAAAGGAAGCAGCAGCTGATCAGGTTGGTGGGAAGGTTCCCCTTTCCAAGGGGACTTGGGAGGAAGGATGCCGGCTTCGTGCCACGTCTCCCACAGTGACGGGAGCTGGAGCAGGGAGCGCCGGGCTGTGGGGGGACACTTGTAGCAGGCACTTCCCCGACGTCTGCACTCACATTTCTGATTTTGTCACTGGGGCTGAGCCAGAGAGAGCCCCTTTTTGCCTCTTCTTTCCAGAGGGAGGCAGGAGCTTGTGAAGCAGATTGAGAAGAACGCAGAGGAGAGGACTATGAGAGCCGAGCAGCGGGACCAGGAGGCTCAGGAGATGCTGGAGTGCTTGAAAAAGATGCAGATGGAAGACCAGAAGGTGTGACAGGCGCAAACCAGGGAGTAAAGGGGGCTGGAGTTATATTTTCAGATCATTGGGAGGGTGTCCCAGTGCTGGGTGAGTTAGATTCAGTGTGGGGAGACAACGGCCAGGAGAATTAAGGCTCTGGTCTCTTCCAGAGAAGCCGAGAGAGGCATCCTTGGAAAGTGAACGTGAACCCTTCAGCCCTTGGTCAACCCGAGTGTTGGTGCTGAGCCAAGGGAGTGCTCTGCGCTGTGCCCCTTCCCTGTCACCCCTCTGACCCCCTGCTCACACCTTCTGCAGGACCTGGAGCGCAAGCACGAGCAGCAGAGGAAAATCCAGGCCGAGATTAAACGGATCAATAACGAAAACCAGAGGCTCAAGGAGGAGCAGCTGCAGCGGGAGAAGATGGCAGAGCAGCGGGTGCTGGAGTATCAGAGGCAGAAAATGGTACTTGGGGTGCAGAGCCCGGGGGGCATCGCCAACCCCTGCACCAAGCTGCTGTGCTTCAAGAAAAGCACCCTGAGAAACTCTCCCGTTTTGTCCCATCCCATCGTGTCCCCATGCCGGGTCCTCTGCGAGGACCTCAGTATTCCTGCACCTAGGTGAGCCGGACAGTGTGGTCCATACGTGCTCCAACAGGCTGTGTCCCACTTAGGCCCGGGAAGCGGAGTTTGAGGCGGAGCAGGAGAGAATCCGTCGGGAGAAGGAGAAGGAGACGGCCCGTTTGAGGGCCTTGCAGGAGAGAGCCCAGGACTACCAGGCAGAGAAGGTGAGCAGCTCCTTGCCCTTGGCTCCCGTGCAGCCCTGGCTTCTCCTGCCACCTCCCTCGTGTCCCCTGGATGTGCTGGATGCAGCCGGCTGTTGCTGCTCCAGGTGTGGGACGGAGCAGAGCTGTCCTGGGGATGGGCAGCGGCTGTGAAGGCCCCTGGGCTGGAGACGGGATGGAGCAGCGAGGGCTGAATCGCTCTTGTGCCTTTGGGAGAGTTTCCAGGGTTAGGGTTAGGGTTAGGTTAGGTTAGGATTAGGGTTATGGTTAGGGTTAGGTTAGGGTTAGGGTTAGGGTTAGGGGTTAGGGTTAGGATTGGGTTAGGGTTAGGTTAGGGTTAGGGTTAGGTTAGGGTTAGGGTTAGGGTTGGGTTAGGGTTTAGGGTTAGGGTTAGGGTTAGGGTTAGGTTAGGGTTAGGGTTACGATTAGGGTTAGGGTTAGGGGTTAGGGTTAGGTTAGGGTTTGGGTTAGGGTTAGGGTTAGGGTAGGGGTTAGGTTTAGGGTTAGGATTTAGGGTTAGGGTTAGGTTAGGGTTAGGGCTAGGGTTAGGATTTAGGGTTAGGGTTAGGTTAGGGTTAGGGTTTAGGGTTAGGGTTAGGGTTAGGGGTTAGGGTTAGGGTAGGGGTTAGGGTTTAGGTTTAGGGTTTAGGGTTAGGGTTAGGGTAGGGGTTATGGTTAGGGTTTAGGGTTAGGATTTAGGGTTAGGGTTAGG